CAGGCTCTGAGCTGGCAGTCAGCACAGAGCCCGACATGGGGCTCGAACCCACGAACAGCAAGATCATGACCTAAGCGAAAGTCGGACGCTTAACCGACTAAGCCACCCAGGCGCCCCAAAAAGAAATTTAAAAAGGGCCACCTGGGTGGCTTCGTGGGTTAAGTGTCTGACTTTGGCTCAGGTCATGATCTCACGGTTGGTGGATTCCAGCCCTACATCGGGCTCTGTGCTGAAAGCCAGCTCAGAGCCTGGAGTCTGTTTCAGTTTCTGTGTCTCTCTCTCTCTCTGACCCTCCCCTGCTCACTCTCTCTCTCTCTCTCTCAGAAATAAATAAAACATTAAAAATTTTAAAAAAAAAGAAAAAAGAAATTTTAAAAAATTACCCTAACCCAGCAATTCCACTTCTGGATACATACCTAAACAAATTGAAAATAAGGTCTCACAGATATATTAATATACCCATGTATATGGCAGAATTATGCACAATAGATAAAATATAGAAGCAACCCAAGAGGCCATCAACCATGAATGGATAAACAAAATGTGGTGTGTGTGTGTGTGTGTGTGTGTGTGTGTGATGGATTATTACTCAACCTTAAAAAGGGAGGAAATTCTGCAATAGTCTACAATATGGATTGACCCTGAGGACATTATGTTGAATGAAATAAACCAGTCAGAAAAAGACAAATACTGTTTGATTCTACTTATATGAGATATTTAGTAGTCAAAAACAATAAAGACAGAAAGGGTAATGGTGAAGGCCAGAGGATTAAGGGAAGAGAGAATGTTAATAGTTATAGAATTTCAGTTTTACAAGATGAAAAGAATTATGGGAATGGGTAGTGGTGATGGTTGCAGACAATAGGAATGTATTTAATGTCATTGAAATCTACACTTAAAAATGTTTAAATAATAAATTTTATGTTATTTGGGTTATACCACAATAAAAAAAAATTGAGCAGAAGGTGTACAGAGATATCCTATATACTCCCTGCCTCTGTACGTAAATTTCTAAAATAATATTTTTAATGTACTAAATTATAAATAATATATTTATAATGCTAAATTATATTTGGTTGTATATGACTGATATATTTTTACAGGTTATATAATGGCATTTGCAAACATTTGAAGTTTAATATCAAAAGAGTCCTAAAACATTTCTTTTTGAAATGTATCTTCCAGCTTCAAATTGTCTTGCTTTAGCAGCTGGAAAATTTTCCTCTTTTTATAATTCCTTGAATAACTACATAGGATACTAATTGTATCTTCTCAGATGTAAATTTTAAGATATAATTTAAGAGTTAATATTAGATCCTCTGGTATATTCTTCTGATGTTTTACACACTTCCAACTTCTGTTTCAATTTATTTATCTGCTCAGCCAATTATAGTACGTTTTACACTCTTTAAAATATTGCACAGTTCCTGAATGTTCAGTTTTGATTCATAAAGTATACCACTATATTCTTCAATATTTTAAAATAAATTTTTTTCAAATGCTATGTCTCAACTTTTAGTTTTTGTTTTCTGTTGAATAATTACTTAGGTTGTCTCTATTTTTTAAATGTTTTTATTTTTTTTTTATTTTTTTTAAATGTTTTTATTTATTTTTGAGAGTGAGAGAGAGAGTGCAATCAGAGGAAGGGGCAGAGAGAGAGAGGGAGATATAGAATCCAAAGCAGGCTTCAGGCTCTGGGCTGATAGCTCAGAGCCTGATGTGGGATTCGAGATTATGACTTGAGCCAAAGTCAGATGCTTAACCGACTGAGCCATCCAAGTACCTCAGATTGTGTCTATTTTTAATTAAAATATAGTTAACATACATGTTACATTAGTTTCAGATGTACAACATACTGATTTGAAAGTCTATATGTTATGCTGTACTCACACAAGTGTAGCTAGCTACCATCTGTCACCACATGACGCGATTATAACACCATTGAATATATTCCCTGTGCTGTGCTTTCCATGCCTGTGACTTATTCATTCCATAACTAACTGGAAACTTGTATTTTCCTCCACCCCTTCCTCCATTTTGCCTATTTCTCTATGCCCAAGATTGTGTCTATTTTATAAATATCTTTAAATAATAGCTTTCATTTTTTAGACTTCTTACTACATTTTTCTAGTTCCACTACTTTGCTGTCTTATTTTTATTATTTTTTGTTTAATCTGAAATTGGTTCCTATAATGCTTTGTATTAATTAAGTAGTCTATCACTTCATAGACCCTTTTTTGTTTATAATATATACATTTGAAGTTATAGATTTATTAATGTTATTAAATTTACAAATTTATCAACCATATTCCCAAAGGTTTCAGTTTTTCATTATTTTTCTATTCTTTCCTTATTACAATTTCTATTATTATGTTATATTTGATACATTTATTGCTTCATTCTATTCCTAAATCTTTCTAAACATATGCATTATTTTGTCTCTATAATAATTTGTTATTTTTCACCTATGGCCCAGAACATGATGGATATTTTGTGCTTAAAATAGTCTGGAATCTCCTAGTTTTGCATGTAGGTTTATACTTAAACCCTTGGGTACAAAATTGTTAATAGTATTATCAGATTTATATCATTACCAATTATTGTTTACATATTTGTTTCAAGAAATATATTTTAAAATTTCTCACCCAAACTAAATTTATAATTTTCTACTTGAATTTCTTTCAGGTTAAGGTTCAGGGTTTAGATTTAGGTGAGTCACAAATATTATATTACCCTATAAATTGTTCCATACATCACTGCATAATTACTATTTTTAACTCCATTAATGTTTTAAAAATATCTGATACTGATGTTACAAAATTGTTTTGTTTAAGAAGATTTGATTCTTTCTATACATTTACTTTCCAACTTTGTATTTTTAGTGCCCCTTAGAAAGAGTACAAGTTTATTTTTAAAATTAATCTGAAAATTCCCTCTTTAATCTGCAAATATGCTCTATAATAATTACTATATTTACAGATGTGTATGAATTGTCTTTTTCATGCTAATACCCATTATTTTATTTTCATTTTGATAAAATATCTATTATTGTTTTTTAACCCATTTTGTTTTGACATGTTTCTCCCTTACATTTTTAACATTCTTCATTACATTCTCCCTTACATAATTCCTTTACATTTTTAACATACATGAATATGTCAGTGTGTCTGTTAATAGCTCAAACCTCCTCATGAATAATTAAAGAATCATGGGCATCTGTTTAATCCTCCTCCAGTATTCATTCATATAACAAATATGTACCGAGTGTGTATTAGGTGCCAGGCATTATAAATGATATAAATGACACAATACTATTCCTTTGCTTTCTTTAAAAAAATTAATGTTTATTATTTATTTTTGGGAGAGAGAGAGCATGAGGGGATAGGAGCAGAGAGACAGGGAGACAGAATCTGAAGCAGGCTCAAGGCTCTGAGGAACCCACAAACCATGAGATCACGACCTGAGCCAAAGTTGGATGCTTAACCAACTGAGTCACCCAGCCACCCCTTGTTTTTGCTTCCTTTGGGAGACATGTTTATTAACTTAATGAACTAGACACTAACATGCATTATTGGTCCTTCTTCAGAAAGTTAGAAAGTCTCTCTATTTGTTCTTTTATGTAAAGTTGAAGCGATTCCATTTCTCTGAACTGATGAAGGAATCTCAATGTCAGTACCCAAAACAATATGCCCAAAACTATTTCACTGTTCAGGTTTGAGTCTTAAAATGCCAAACCATAGACACTAAAGCTTTTAACCTATATAGTATATCTCCAGACTACTATAGCATTGGTTTGAAATTTTAAAGACTTTGATTATATTTATCTCTTCATTTCAATCTCAAGTATGTTTAATTTTTAACTTGAAATTTAGCATATTTGTTAAAAATATTGCTATGTTTCTTAACAATTAAAAGTTAATAGTTACACTTATTTTTTTAATTAGTTAATTATGTTGTAAGGAGTATAGAATGCCATTATCTGCATTAGGTGAACATATCCACCAAGGCTATATCAACATTGCCTTTCTGTATGTACTATCATTGTAAGTCACAATAATTTTTAAATACTCTGTTTATATTGTATCCTTCATAGATGAAATCCTTAAGAAGAAATAAATAAATAGCAAACATTTTGAAAGAACACACAATGTAATCCATTTTCATTTTAAATTTAAAATATTAGTGAAATACTATATCAAAGAAGTGTCTTATATAGAGAGAAGTTTGATTTTAGCAGAACTTCTTAATGAAACATTGATCCCAAACTCATTAGTTTGTCAGTTATTTTTGTTATTGTTTTCATTTCTGCTTTATTAAGTATTATGTGACTGTCTGGACTACTTAAGAAACAAATCTATGTCCAAAAGGGAAAAGTTACACAAAACCAGGAAGAACTGGTTTGAAGGTACTGATTTCTAACCTATATTGTCTCTTTTATAATTGCCTGGACTTAGGTAAGTAGCATAATGGACATCATTTTACTGCTTATTAAATTGATATACTAATTGACCTCATATATTTTAATGACAGTTAAATAATATTCTATAACTTTGTCTATTATCTGAGAAGACTCCATGCATGAAAAACTCTATTCTGAGACTTGCATTTGGTCTAGAAAGAAAGCAATCCATAGTAAAGTCAAACTTAAAGACCAGGGTATGACATTAGATCATTTTCTTTTTATCAAACTTCCATGACATAATATGGAAGATAATAAGAAAGATCCTATTATTATACTGTTCTATTCTTCAATTATGAGAGAGTTGAAATCTTACAACCTGCCTTATAGAATATTTGTGATGATTGAATGACTTCTAATATGAAATATGTTACCAACATTTCAGTTTTGTAATAATATCCCACAAATGTTAGTACAGAAATGAGAATAATAAAGATGAATACCCCGTTTAATATCATGAACCCAGGTAACTCCTTTTCAACTACTGTCTGACAGTCTATTAAGAACAGTAACTTTGAATGTTTTCTTCCCTTAGTAAAGGATGTTCCAGGATCTCATACATTCCAACATCTCTAAGTTCCAGGTCTCTGAATTCATTCTGATGGGATTCCCAGGAATCCACACCTGGCAGCACTGGCTCTCCCTGCCCCTGGCTCTGCTCTACCTCTTAGCTCTCACTGCCAACATCCTCATCCTGATCATCATCAATCAGGAGGCCACACTGCACCAGCCTATGTACCATTTCCTGGGGATCCTGGCTGTGGTAGACATGGGACTTGCTACCACCATCATGCCCAAGATTTTGGCCATATTATGGTTTAATGCCAAGGCCATCAGTCTCCCTGAGTGTTTTGCTCAGATGTATGTTATACATTGTTTTGTTTTTATGGATTCAGGGATCTTTGTCTGCATGGCTATAGATAGATATTTAGCCATTTGCAAACCACTACGCTATTCTTCAATAATCACTGAATCTTTTGTGGTCAAAACAACTGTGTTCATGGCACTTAGAAATATCCTTTCTACCATCCCAGTGCCTGTGTTGGCTGCTCAGAGACACTACTGCTCACAGAATCAAATTGAGCACTGTCTGTGCTCTAATCTTGGAGTTACTAGCTTATCCTGTGATGACAGGACAATCAACAGCATCTACCAGCTACTTCTGGCATGGACACTGATGGGGAGTGACCTGGCTTTGATTATTTTATCTTATGGTTTGATACTTCACTCAGTGCTGAAGCTGAACTCAGCAGAAGCTGCTTCCAAAGCCCTAAGCACCTGCACTTCCCACCTCATCCTCGTTTTGTTCTTTTACACAGTCATTGTTGTCATTTCCATCACCCATAGTGCAGCAACGACGCTTCCCATTATTCCAGTTCTACTCAATGTACTACACAATGTCATTCCTCCTGCCCTCAACCCCATGGTGTATGCACTCAAGAACAAGGAGCTCAGGCAGGGCTTATATAAGGTTCTGAAGCTGAACAAGGGGAACTCACACTGAGAATGGGCTCTCTTAGGTAATTCTCCCACATATTTATCCATCAGATTCTCCAATCATTACAAATGACAGAAGAACTAAGGAACATGTACACTGGTAACCTTTCAGTTAGTCAAAGGAATCTGTGGTGAAAATGAAACTTAAAAAAAGGGGTGATACTAATATTTGAAATCTTGGTAGTCAGAAAAGTTTTTCACCATAACACAATGATGCCAATTGTTTCAAGGAATCCAAGGGAAAAGTACAATATGCATCTCATTTTTCTACCTAGGCACACTGGCCAGAACTTCTAGACAATGCTGAGTAGAGGTGTTTAGGGCAGATATCTGCCAATCTTGTTTTTAATGGAAGAGTTTAATCCATGCACATTAATTGTGGTTTCTGATAACATAGTACTTACTTCTGTCATTTGTATATTTGCTTTCTAACGTGTCTTATATCTTTTAAAATCAGCAAAGGACTTGAATAGACGTATCTCTAAAGAAGATGTGCAATTTCCATGAAGCACATGAGGAAATGCTCAACATCATTAGTCATTAGATGAATTCAAATCAAAACCACAAGATAGCACTATATCTCCTAAACTGGCCTTAATTCTTTGTTGTTGTTTTTGAAGTGTAATTAACATACAGTGTTATATTAGCCTCAGGTGTACAATATAATAATTGAACAACTCTACACATTACTCAGTTATCATCATGATAAGTGTACTGTTAATCTCCTTTATCTATATCCCCTACTCCCTCCCCACTTATCTCCTTCTGGCAACAAACAACTTGTTCTCTGTATTTAAGAGTCTGGATTTTGGTTTGTTTGTTTGTCTCAATTTTCTTTGTTCACTTGTTTTGTTTCTTAAATTCCACATGTAAGTGAAATCATGTGGCATTTACTTTTGTCTGACTGACATTTCTCTTAGCATTATAATCTCTAGGTTCTTTCATGTTGTTGTAAATGGAAAGAGCTCACTCTTTTTCATGCCAAGTAATATTTCATTGTATATATACACCACATGTTCTTTCTCCATTTATCTATGGACACTTGGGTTGCTTCCATATCTTGGTTATTGTAAATAATACAGCAAAAAGACACAGGGGTGCATATATATGCTTTTGAATTTGTGTTTTCATTTTCTTTGGGTAAATACTTAGTAGTAGAATTACTTTTTTTTTTTTTTAATTTTTTTAAAGGTTTTATTTATTTCTGAGAGAGAGACAGCATGAGCAGGGGAGGGTCAGAGAGAGAGGGAGACACAGGATCTGAAGCAGGCTCCAGGCTCTGAGCTAGCTGTCAGCACAGAGCCCGACACGGGGCTCGAACCCACGAACTGTGAGATCATGACCTGGGCCGAAGTCGGACGCTTAACCGACTGAGCCACCCAGGCACCCCAGTAGTAGAATTACTTAATTATATGGTAATTCCATTTTTAATTTTTTGAGGAACCACCTTAGTTTTTTCCACAGTGGCTGCACCAATTTGTATTCATATCAGAGGTTTATTTTTTATATCTTGTACTTTGAAAACTATAAAATACTGATTAAAGAATTGAAGATGATACAAACAAATGTAAAGATATTCCATATTTATAGTTTTGAAGAATCAATATTGTTAAAATATCCATACTACTCAAAGCAATCTATAGATTCAATCCAATGCCTATCAAAATACCAAATTTTTTTTACAGAACTAGAACAAATAATCCTAAAATTTGTATGAAACCTCAAAAGACCTCAGGTAATAAAGTAATCTTGAGAAGGTAGGACAAAGCTGGAGGTATCAGATTTCAGGATCTACTACAAAGCTGTAGTAATCAAAACAGTATGGCATTGGCACAAAAATAGACACATAAATAAATGGAAGCAAATAGACAACCCAGAATGTAGCCCATGCTTATATGGTCAATGAATCTATGACAGAGGAGGCAAGAATATTCTATTCTGTGGGGAAAAGATAGTCTCTTCAACAGATGGTGCTTGGAAAACTGAATAGCTACATGCAAAAGTATAAAACTGGACCACTTCCCTACACCTTACACACAATAAACTTAAAATGGATTAAAGACCTAATTGTGAGACCTGAAATCATAAAACTTCTAGAAGAAAACATAGGCAGTAATTTCTTCAGCATTAGCCTTAGCAACTTTTTTCTAGATATGTTTTCTTAAGCAAGTGAAACAAAAACACAAATGGACCAAAATAGTCTTTCACAGAGTAAAGGAAGCCATCAACAAAACAAGAAGGCAACCTACTGAATGGGAAAAGATATTTGCAAATGATATATCTATAAGATTTAGTATCAAAAATGTGTAAAGAACTTATATGACTCAACACCAAAACAATAAATAATCTGATCAAAAATGGCTTTAATTCTTTTCAATAGTCACCGTCAGAGATTTTGTGGAAATATTCGCGTACTCACACATTGCTGATGGGAATATAAAATCCTACAGGAGATATGAAAACGGTTCAAAAATTGCTCAAAAAGTTGAAAACAATTACCATAGACTCAGCAGTTCAACTCCTTAGTATATACCTAAAATAATTGAAAACACATGCTAAATCAACAATTTGTATATGAATATTCATAGTAGCATTATTAACCAAAGATCAAAAGAGCCCAAGTGTCCATCAGCTGCCTAATGAATAAACAGGCTTAGGCATATTCATACAAGGCATTATTATTCATCCATAAGAAGGACAAAATACTGATAACATGCTATTACAGAGATGAACTTTGAAAACATTATGCTACAGAAAAAAGTTAAACACAAAACTTACATGTTTCATGATTACAGTTATTAGATGTCCAAAATAGGTGATCCATTGAATCAGAGAGCATATTAGTTATTGTTAGGGGCAGGAGAGACAGAATAGGGAATGAGTAATTATTGGTTATGGAGTTACCTTCTGAGGTAATGGAGATGTTTTGGAATTATCAAGTGCTAATGCTTGCACAGCATTAAGAATGTATTTTAAGCTACCCGATTGTACATTTTCAAACAGTTTAGGTAATTTTATGGTATGGAATTTCATCCCTTAAAAAGAAAAGATTAAGTAGAAAAATGTGCTAAAAATGTTCTCTACCCACGTATTTATTGTAGCATTCCAGAAAAATAAAGAAATATATATGTCTAAGAATAGGAAATGGTTTAAAAATTATGTAAATACACGTTGTTATTTATAATCATAATATTAAAGAATAATCCTATTTTGAATGTGCTTCTTACATAATGTCAATTATTATGTCCAATTTTTTCAAAAACATGTATAGCAAAAGTGTATTTAGAAATGTATTAGAAGTTACCTCTACTGGGACGCCTGGGTGGCTTAGTCGGTTAAGCGTCCGACTTTCGCTTAGGTCATGATCTCGCGGTTCGTGGGTTCGAGCCCCCGTCGGGCTCTGTGCTGACTGCCAGTTCAGAGCCTGGAGCCTGTTTCAGTCTGTGATTCTCTCTTTCTGACCCTCCCCTGCTCACGCTATCTCTCTCTCTCTCTCTCTCCTAGAAATAAATAAATAAATAAAACATTAAAAAAGATTTAAAAAAAAAGAAGTTACCTCTACTTTATAGAATATGAGTTTTATTTATCTATCACAAAGTCATCTTAATTTTTCTCCGTCAATAAAATATATAAGCATTACTCATTATCTAATAAAAATCTTTTAAAAATAAAACCAGATATCATGTTTTATAATTTTTTTTTAATGTTTGTTTGTTTTTTTTTTTTTATTTCTAGGAGAGAGAGAGAGAGACAGCGTGAGCAGGGGAGGGTCAGAAAGAGAGGGAGTCACAGACTGAAACAGGCTCCAGGCTCTGAGCTGGCAGTCAGCACAGAGCCCAACGCGGGGCTCGAACCCACGAACCGCGAGATCATGACCCAAGTGAAAGTCGGACGCTTAACCGACTAAGCCACCCAGGTGCCCCTATAATTGTTATTATCACTACCATCATTACTGTCTCAAATTTTTATTATTTATTAGATCATTAAAATATTCTTGTCCTAATATGTAGGCATAATAAGCCTAACCTTGAATTTCTACAATTCCATAATATTCATTATGTTCATCACTTGAAGGTGAAAATAAACAACTAAAGAACACATAAATGTGTGTGATGGTGATTGAAACTTTGTGAAACATTTTAAGTGCTTTCAACTTGTGTCTTGAAGAACTTGACACTAAAAGAATGAAATTCTTAATGAATATTAAAATCAATAATTTTCATTAATATTGCCTGTCTCATTCTCACCCGCATACACAATTCTTCACAGACAAGTACACCAATATACATGCATATTAAATTATTCTCTTATTTGTGCATCATCTAATAAGTGGTAAGAATATAAAGCTTCTTTCTTTCTCCTCCATAGGGGTTAGTTTGACTCCTATACCAGCACCCGTGTCTCTAATATGGTGCAATATCCCCTTGGGATACATAACACACATTGTTATTTAAAGATTCAATTCAGTAGTATGGACATCAAGGGCTTTAGAGGTGGAGAGTTGTATATATACATATAGCATCAGGAGGTTATTTACCTCAATAATTGGACAAGATTTCATTCTTCTCATCTCATTTTATCTACTGAGAAACTAAGGTATTAAAGGACATCAAAAGTAAGACTAGTGACAGGATTTAATTAACTTGTTAGTACTGACATAAATAGGACCCAGGATTTGAGGGGTATATGAATTGATTATTAGAAGTTCAGAAACACAGGTTTGATTCCATCCACCAATTTGAAGGCATTAATGCTGTAAATGATTGGATTTTCTTTACAATGTTCATTTCCTCAGTTCTCAGAGTACCATAAAGTGTAGCTTTCTGTCATGATTATGAATATCAATGTTATCTTCCTAGCCAAATAGGAATCACTGGCCATGTTACAGCATAAGTAAAGTATGAATCACCCCATGACCAGAAAAAAGAAGAGCTAGAGACTAGTTCTCAGTAATGGTCAGAACATCCTTGCTTTTTACTTGCCTTCCCATTGTCTTGGAATGAGAAT